AACAAACTCAATGATTTCAAAGCAAGCAATGGCAAAATTTCATGGAAAAAAAAAGAAACTTCTTTATCTCCTGCATGCCAGACTTTGTATGGGAAATTCTAAAGATATGCTCATTTTAAAATTATTTTGCAAATCTGCTGTTGAACTTAACTTTATGCTTTGATTACGTAGAACATGATATTTAATAAATGTAACACACAAAACGTTAAAAAAACACCCCTTTGGACGCAATTAAAATCTGAAAACCTTTCAAATTTTGTTAATACTTTTTTTTGGTGGTAATTTTTTTTATTTAAATTTTTTGAACAAAGGTTTAACAATTAAAATGTCATTCTTCTCCCCCATTTTTCAATGTTTTTTCCCAGATTTTCTTATTGTATTTATTAGAGAGTTTTTAATTACTTTAATGATCGATTTTGCAAATAATGAATTAGTTTCTAAGAAAAATAAAAACATATTTTTATGTAAAAACTTTGAAACAAATATCTCATTTAGATTTTAACTTCAAATAAATTTTCTTTTCAGTATTTTGCAAAACCCATCCTTGTTTCTGTAAAGTATATAATTTTAAATAAGCGGTAAAAATATTAAGTAATTTAAGCCATATGTATATAAGTTTTAGGAGATTAAATAAAAGGATTTATCCGAAAAATTCAAACTGAGAAAAAGCACTTCAAAAATATAAAAGACCTAAATCTTCATTAAATCATTTCAAATTTCTTAAAAATGTTATTACTGAATTTCAATACACACACACACACACATATATATATAATAAAACCTAGTGCTATTCAATTGGTTAATATAAACATAAATTACAAGCTTGTAACCAATCCTTTAACATAAACTGTTGGACTAACTGTGACAACAAGGCTGCCCTCTGGTGAGCAGCCAGAGAAGTACTTCGGTAAAAGCCAAGGCCCCCACTTGATAGGTTGTACCAGACTGTTGCTCTGTAATTTTTTCTTAAAGTTAAATGTAATGTCCGTGTGTAACTTAAACCTGTTAATAAATATTTGTTACACTATACCGGACTCTTCTATGACCCTATCTAAAACGACCCCTTTATAAGCTTTTATTTAAAATCTTCGTAAAACAGTTTCAAAACAAGTTTAATGCATGAATAATTTATAACATATTTTCTAAAACAATCAATATTAAAGCATTTATAATTAAAGCAGATAATATTAATTTGTCGTTTTATGCATTTTTTCAAAAAGCAAAGATTGAAATTTTAACAGCCGGAAAACATTTATTTAAAACCGTTCAGCAATATACGCAATTTCTTTTCTTCTTTTAACCTTTGGTCTCGTATATAAATTGCATTTTAAATTAATTTAAGCGTATTTTAGTTAATTAAAGAGTTAAACTGCGATGGCTTTCGATAGCAATAGTAAACAATGCCAAAAAGATGTGAGCATTTGTTAGAAATCCGCGTTTGTGACATCATTCGTTGCTCACAGTGGCTTAAAGGTTGAGGGATCGAAGACGATGTGCATCTGAATCGGTCCTGTAGGCGAAACTGCTTCATATCCCCATTTCTCCCAAATATAAACGGTGGCTGCACAAAAGAGGCTGGTGAAAGAGCATGTGAACGGGGCTTAAGAGACAGAGAGAGGTAACTGTTGTTACTGCTCATCATAATATCGTAAAATCCCGTGTGTACCATACATGGAGGTTAGAATAAAAAAAAAACTTCTCTGCAACAGGAATGGTTCCGTCCCAACATAGAGAGAAACAGCTGCGTATGCATGAAATATCTGTCGCTGAAGCTCACGAAGTTCGAAGGTCAAATTTATCAAGAGTACGTAAAACAAATATCGTTTTAAATTTCTTTAAACTTTAAAGGAAAAGAAAATATTTTTTCACATGAGTAAATTAATAAATTAGTTATTTGGAGCAAGAAAAGTATGAAAATCCAAGCATAAATTATTGCGAAAGTTAAAGTTTTTTCTTAACACATGCTCCACAATTTCTTGTACACATTGTGGAAGGGGAAATTCTCACTGTCAGGTTACGTCGCCAAATCCCTCGGGAAGTTTTTCCCTCCAATTCCTAGAGGCACCATAGTAAACTGATTTACATTATGTCTATGGAACCCTTCTTTCTTTACACAGACGTTCTTACATTAGAACAGAGTACATGGGGGCTATTCTAGCCTCCATTGTACCGTATATTAGGATTAAACCGATTTTGTTGTATACAAGAATGGGAAGGTATTTTCTTTAGTTCAACATGCACTGCACATGCGAGTCTTAGGATTCTCAAGGTTACTGGAAACCAAATTTGCTTTGTCTTTCTAAAAGACAATCTGATTGGAGCTGCGAAAATTGGCTCTATGCCAGCTGCCCAAATGACGCTCATCCGATACATAATTCACCAACAAAGCGATCGCTTCCAACATTGGCACAAAACTCGCATTTTTGGGGATTGCCGTATGACATTCCCCGACTTTTTGAGATTTTGACTAAAATATTTAAATTCCCCGACTTTTTTGGTCAATTTTCAAATTCCCTGACTTTTCCCAGTTTTCCAGGTAGCGTCTCAACCCTGAGAGAAGCTTCATTATTTAATAACAGAGATTGGCCACTTAGACATTCCTTTCAGTCTGTGACAATTTCCTAAACTGACAGCTTTGAAAATTAATTATTTGCTTCATAATATATTTTCACTATCATCATTCTTAAAGCTATCATAATGTTTTAACATTCTATAAAAATCTTTCTCAATTCTTCTAACAAATTCAATAATGTAATACCAGATTCCCTATACAATATATTTCATTAACAGAACACAAATAAGAACCATCCTAAAAATTTATCTTCCATTCAGTTTAGAGAGATTTCGATGTTTAAAACCCATATCTATCGATATATCAGAATACATATTTTATATATACATACATAAAATTCCCCTTCCTGCATTCAGTAATATTTATCTTTTATTTTATACTACATTGAAGAAATTAAGTACAGTCAAAAGTCTTTAATCCACACGTCCATAATCCGGAATGATCTATAATCCAGACTTCAAAGCTACAAACTTTCTGTGCGATCTATAATCCAGACTTCAAAGCTACAAACTTTCTCCGCATGTGTAAACACAACGCATGCACATATGCGTTTACGCATGCGTGTTTAATGTATAACGAATGGTATAAGCCAAGCTAAAATTATCTAATTATTTATTTCATTTAATGTTGCAGATTGTGTTGTTCCTTAATTTTCGAATTGGATCTGGCTCATTATTTTTTGCACACTGTTAGAGCAACTTTATAAAAGTAAGCTTGAACTTTCGATTATGTCAAAAAGAATTTCCGATTTTGGAGCTGCCAAAGGATCTACAAAGCGAAAGCATGTTTCGATATCCATCAAACAAAAAGTGGAATTGCTGCAAAAAATGGATAAAGGCATATCCTTTGTTTCTCTAACCATTCCAAAATCCGTTTATCAATTTCAAGCTGCTTGGAGGGAGGGGGACTCATGGAGCGGAGCGAGCAGGGCAATGAACTGGAAGTTGATCTGTCAGCAATAAAAACATCTGTCAGGACAGATGTTTTTATTTTATTTGGCTTATAATTCCTTATTAAATGTAGTATTTCATCTCCGTGTACTCCGGCTTTGATACAATTTAAATCAAATTCCTCCTCAGTATAAACATCACGAATACACATCAAATAGTTTTCTGGTTGCAATTTTCTAATTTCGACTATGCGTAATGTATGCTTTATGCATGCGCGCCTTCAAAGAAATGTTTAATAAAGTAAACAAATAAATATTAAGTTTTTTTTTGTAAATTTTATACCCTTTAGATCATAATTGCTCTTTATTTCATAAATTATGATTTTATATTTTTAATTTTATAATTTCTGCATGCCATCTTACCAGATTTAAATTGATGACCTATAATCCGGAAAAACCGATAATCCGGAATGGCTGAAGTCCTGACGAGTCCAAATTAAAGACTTTTGACTGTATAATTTATATTTGAGGATATGTCACCTTAGACTACTGATGGTGTTGTGAAAGTTTTAATTTCATATATTACAAGAAGAATGCTTTGTTTATTAATATTTTTTAAATAATAACATTTGTACATATAATAAATACAAATAACTTTATTAACAGATAATAAGTAGTTTTATCATTGAATTAAGAGATAATAAATGCATAAAAAAGATATACACATAACTATTTTACTAAATATTTTTTATTCTTGGGAGAGGTACAATTAGGGATATAAAAATTGTTATGCCTAAGGCAGGGACAGATAGTGAAAATATATTATGAAGCAAATAATTAATTTTCAAAAATGTCAGTTTAGGAAATTGTCACAGACTGAAAGAAATATCTAAATGGCCAAAGGCATAACCATCTTTTAGGGCCCTCTAACACTCACTTTGTTTTCATAAGTAAGAAACATGATAATGCGAGTCTATAGGGTGATTTGGAAGCTCTACAAAATCCTACGTCTGGGACATGTAGGCCTAGATAGTAATTCAGTTTGGGAATGACATATTTGCTTAGATATGAATTAAAAGTATTAAAAATTGTTAAAATATTAAACATCAAACTGCAGATACTTCTGTTGCAAATTAGCATTTATACATTAAATGTCTCTCATGCCTCTACATGCAGATCATACATTTTTTACTATTTCAACCATCATTAATCTCAATGACTCTTCTTTGATTTTACAACCAGAATGCCAGTACTAGATATATAAATATTTCTACATTCATACAGTATCATTTTACAAAAGCCTGAAACTAAATTAAATAGCCCACACTCATAAAATGTGATTTCACAGATTCACTGCCATGAATATAAATTCACTCTACTAGCTGAATGAAATTATACTAGTCCATTACCTTTGTAATGAATGAGTGATTATATGAATTGAGTGAATAGTCAATTACCTTTGTAACTCAAATTCCTTTGATTCTAAATAAATAAATAAATATTTTAATTATCTGATAATACAAATGATTGGTAACTTACTTTTGGAGAGCAATAATATGTTGTGCTGGCAACAGGGACTTGAGTAACAAACATTGTAATACTGCGCATAAAGTATAGAAGGCCAATTATTACAAAACACCTTCTCAAAATGATAAACCTGAAACAAAATGCACACTTTTAAAATATTTTCTCCGCATCCTATAATTTATTAAACTTAGCATTAAGTAATATGACATGTGCTGCATAGAAAAACTGACCAAAAAAATATAACAGGATTAAATCTTTGCCTGCGAGTTTCGTGAAAAAATTGTGTAAAATATTTGTGAGAATAAGGAAGCTGAAAGAAAATGCAAATTAATTATTAATACACAATTTTTCACAGAGTTTGCCTCAGATATAAATCATTAGATACTTCAAAATGAGATTAAAACATAATTTTACTTTATAGCAACATGTTAGCTATCAAACAACGATACACTTACATGTTACTATTTTTCTTAATTTTTAATGAAAAACTGAAAATCATGGAAGGCAGTCTTTGCCTAATAAACACATCAAAATACTAAATATAACAAAACCAAAGTACAGAAATAAAAATTAAGCAGTTGTTTTATTTATTACAAAATGAATTCAGTAATATGAAATCTAGCTTAAATTTAAGATAAGATAATGTTCATAAAAAGATATAATAATAATAATAGAAGCTAAACATAACATTAATCTTGAAATTTATCACATTACTTTTTACCAAGCACAGTTTTTATAGCAGTATTTCCTAATCAACCAGGTTGGACTATAAAACTACATAATTAGTGACGATAATGAATTACCATTTACGACTCGAATACTAGATACAGTAGAACGGCATAGTTATTATATAATACCCAACACAGTTGAATCTTGGATCATAGAAGCTCACAACATGAACAAATTATCTGCATAAAAAATATGGATGACAGATTTGGAGGTAACCCCCCCCCCCGACACAAAAATTAACATTCGGAAACTTCTAAAAACATTTTAATATCTCTCATAGCCTAACTCTCATTCACAAAGCTAAGCAGCAAGTGACATAAAGGATCACGAATTCGGCCCGTAGGAAATTATGGACATTTCATATTTTGAAGGCTTTGACACTGGAATTTTTTTTTAAATTGGCAATGATATTATATACCTCTAAGCAAAATCCTTAGCTTTGACGATTTAGAAAAGTTACTAGAGTAGCATAAAAAAGAGCTAAGAATTAAAAAACTTCAGAAGCTATAACAAAATGCGATTGGAGCAAGATATGCCTTCACAGGAAGAGGAAGAAAAAGACAGCAAACTTAGACCTTTGATCAATGAAATTTGTGCAAAATGGAGCAAGGAGCAGTTTCTTGTAATGATATCACTCTGATAAAATAACAGCAAGCTAACAAATACAACTGCTGAAAAAACATTTTAAAATGCACCAGAAACAAATCCCACTAGACAGACTTTTGATTAAAACAGAAGCTTAGCAACTCTCAAACAGGGTCGACTGAATTTTGCCAACTTCAGTTAGAAATCAAGCATAAAAGGACAGTAGATTGGAATAACTACTTGAGGGAGGTATGCACAAATAGCTTGAGGTCTTGTAAAAGAAATAAAATCGGCAGAGCCAACACAACTGTAGAAAGAGACAAAAGTATTTTCACAAAGAGAAGAAACAACATTGGATATGTTCTTCCAGAACAATGGGTATTTGGAGGTTTATACTGGGAAAGCAAAGAATGTTTTCTGGTTGCCGTTCCCGGTCCCTATGCTACAACATTGATGACTGCCATTCAGGGAAATATAGCGGATAGCAGCATAATATTTTCAGACTGCTGGAAAGAAGATAAGAAAGACGAATTAAGAAATTATGAACATTTCACTGTGAATCACTTATAATTTTGTGGACCCCGAAAATAGGTGCTATACACAAACTATGGGATGATTGTGGGGAAGTGCTAAATGGAGAAATAAACTTCAGCGTTGGCACTGTTCACCACCATTTAGTCACATTTGATAGAATTTATGTAGTGCCGGTTATATTCAAAAACTGAAATTTTTTCTATAATATTTGTAATTTTACGTCATCTGTTTAGATCGAATATTCTTTTATTATTTTTCATTTACGTATAGAATATTCTTATGCCACCTATTTAGATAAAATTAAATTTTGTTTTATATTTTCTTATTTATGTGTAGAATACTCTAGATTAAAAAGTTAAAGGCAAAAATTTCCTTTCTTTTGAACTCTATTATTATTTCATAATTTTATACTTGGCAACAATTAACAGCCCCCAAAAAAATAGTGGTGCATTTTTCACTGATGCCGCTCTAACTGAATAGTACCATTTCCACTAATGCTGTCCATTCACCTTCTAGTACAGACAGTAAATTTAAATTCCTTTAAGCTTATTTGTTTAATAATGCATTTATTTTTAAAGTGTAATACCTGATATTACACTTTAAAAATAAATTGATCGAAAAGTCCATTTTTGGGGATCTTTTTTTATACAAACATCATTATCATACTTACATCATTTTTATTATACTTACATCTTTTTTTATTAATTTTTGTATTTTCATTTTTTCTTTTATTCCTTATTTTGTGAAATGAAACTGTTTTTAGACATCAAAACTTGCACTTATTTTTCCCTAATACATTGCATAACTAGCATGCCCGTGTAAAAACAGTGGCACTGGTGAGTGAATCTTGGACATTTTTCGCGGCAGTTATGGTGTTAAGCAAGTACATGACCACTTTTTCCAAATGACTTCAATCAGTTTTGTTACCCATTGCCAGTGTGAAAGTCTGTTGTCTGGTTAAGTACTGAAACCTTTTTCTGTTAAGTCTATGGTTGAACGACCTCAGATGTGCAGGTGTTAACACTTCGAGGTATCTGAATCTGCTGACACAGCAGAAATAGACAATAGACAATTATTAAGTATTCCTTTAGTCTGATTTGTTACCATGAGAAACTCTTCCAAAGTTAATTTCGCATTATCTACAAAACACTTTGAATGGTAATTGAAAGCTTTCATCCAGCTTTTTATGTTTTTCCAAAAGTCGAGGATCAGATAACTTTTCACACTTTTCAATAATGTTGTAAAGCTTCTTTATTTCATTGTGAGCTTCAGTGAATGTTTCATCATCACCAAATAATTTGCTACTCTTACCATATCTTGTAAAGAATCTTTCAGGTAGTTATAAAAGATTCAAATGCAAGACCTGTAATCAATTCTAAATGTATGGCACGAGTTATGAAACAAATGAAAATATAAACGCAGTTTTTTATAAGAATCTTTTCTTTGGTGTTTATATCTGATAAAGAATAAAAATCAATACTTATAGAATCAAAACCATAATTTTAATTCACTCAATCCCGAGGTAAGTTGCAAAAATGCTGATTTGTGCCTATTGGCTTGGCCTTAAGAAATACATATATTTGCAACTTTCCTGCAAAGTGAATTAATATTTAATGACCAAAAGTCATGTCGAACATAATATAACAATGGTTGAGTTCCATGCAAATATTTTTTATGAAAAAAAATGTAAAATATGTTTTGTTCAAACAAGTTTATCTGGTAAAATAGTTGAATCTAAATTAGCATTTTGTAGCATATTAACTTCCAAATTATTACTTAAAGTTTTTTAAAAAAGAAAAAGAACAAAAATTATAGGGATGCATTTTGAAGTGTAATTCTTCTCCTTCCAGTCTAGTTGCATTAACAGTAAGTGAGATAATAGTTTTACATATATAGTGAAACTTTGGTTCACAAATATGCCACAATTTCCGGAAGAAACGCAGCGGCGTTTACGTGTTTAAAACTTAAATTTTCAGCGGGTGCGGCATTTCTACCCATGCGGCATTTACGTGCACTAAAAATAAAATATTTCCTATGATGGTCATTGTACATAGTTTGGATGGCCTTGTCATTGTGCATAGACTGGTGCTGTTCCCTCACAAAAGACCACTCAGTTGCTTTTTGCGAACGTTATTTTGTTTACATTCTTTCCCTTGAACGGACTTACATGCCTTATTCACCCTAAACGAGATCTCAGAACAATAACATTCTTCCCCCTTTCAAATCAACATTCTCATCAGTTCGAATAGTCTCTCTCCTCTGCCATTCGATGAATCTTCCAGGACCCATCCTCTCCCCACCCCTGCCTTTTTTGCAATTTAAAAAAATTTGAAAACAAAGGCGGACACGACTCCACCTGCCTCGCAATAACGAACTCTGACGTATTTCCCCTTTCAGCATGAATGGATTTTTCTTGGCATTCTGCCAGATACAGATCCCATCAGTTTGGGAACAAGTACTTGTTGGATAGTTTTTAAGAAAGAAGGGAGCGGAAAATTTTTGAAAATGTCCCTAAACGGCACAGAAGCTTAATGTAATTGTTGCTGGTTTTAAGCTTAATGTAATTTCACGTGCTGAACAAATTAGAAATCGAGCAGCAGCTCGAAAGTTTGAAGTGGATGACAGATGTATTCGACGTTGGAGAACTGAAAAAGCACTTCTTAAAAATATGCCACAACAGAAACGAGCCAAAAGAAGTGGTACTGTAAGGTGGCCAAATCTAGAGGACGACATTGCAAACTGGATAAAGGAGCAACGAGGAAAGGGAATGTCAATTTCGACTGTAAAAATTCTCTTACAAGCAAAATTTATAGCAAAACGAATGAACATAAATGATTTCAAAGGAGGTGTAGCAGATTTATGAAAAGAAAAAATATTTCTGTGCGTACTAGAACAACAGTCGGGCAACAATTACCAATGGACTGGCAGGATAAAAAAGTCATCTTTCTAAAATATGTGACAGCTATTATTGACAAAAAAAAAAAAAAAAAAAAAAAAAAAAAAAAAAAAAAAACTTCGGTCGCAGATAATAAATATGGATGAAACGCCGTTAGCTTTCGACTCTCCTGCAAACAGAACTGTTGATGAAACTGGTGCAAAAACTGTATCTATGTTTATGACGTGGCATGAAAGAACGTCATTTACATGTGTATTAGCTTGTGCCGCAAACGGTGACAAGCTAAAGCCGATGATCATTTTTAAACGAAAGACTATTCCGAAGGGAGATGGTATGTCATATATCAGGACTTAGGTTGAGTTTTTGCATCTATACGGCCCCCGACA